GATCAGCCTCTTTTCGTCCAGGCCTTGCAAATTTCGCCAGAACATCGCCAGCTGCACCACAAAGAAAAGGCCAACTGCGCCAACAATTTTAAAAAGCAGCCCATCGTGCGGCGCCGGCATTGGCACAGCCACACTCCCACACAGACGAGTGTCCCTCTCAGGCCGTCATCCCTGAACAAGCCACAGAATGAGAGAGCTAAAACGGAACAATCGAAGCCAAGCACAACTGCGGTAAACTTGAAATCAACCATTCTACTGCTTCCAGACAGGCAAAAACCCCCGTTTTTATACATTTTCGCGTATATGCAAATGCAAAAACGCATGTGAAAATCCAGGTATGTGTGTGTGTATATATGTCTGAGTAGGTGGGTGTGTATATGTGTGTGTGTGTGTGCGTGTGTGTGTGCACCTGTCTGGGTAGTCCAGGTACTTCAACTCGACAACCAAGCAAGCTCCGGCGCTAAAATTTTGCCAGTGGATTCTCCCGCTAAGTGCCAGCCCAGAATCTCGGTACCAACTTTCAAGCATGTTTCGGTCTCGCGTATGGGCGACGCAAAATTTTTGCCGAGAAAATCGCTAACTCGGGAATCAGAAAAGCTAAAAAGCTGGAATGTGTATGCTGCCCTGCGAGAATTTTTGGCGGGAAAACCGCTAACTGGAGAACCAGGAAAGCTGGGAGGCTGAAATCTTAAGGGCACAATTAACTTATCCAAGCACTACGTAGTTGCATAATTAACTTCCTGAACTTCAAGAACCAGTATATCACAAATTGTGGCATTGGGACTACAAGCGATCTTACTGTGGCACAAAATATTACAAAAAAGCATAATCGCACCGGCCAATGATTACTCAAGTGGAAGCGGGGGGTTTTCGATTCACAGCGACACGACCGCTCGCTAGGACTGGATTAATGGATAGCCCGCAAAAATCACAAAAATAGAAAAAAGAAAGTTCGCGCTGAATTTGCAAATGCGAGAGAAGCATACTTCGTGCAGTTATGCGCACTGGCATGAACAGGCGAAGGGCCTCTCCCCCTTCGCATGCACCATTGCTGCAAAAGGCCCGGGTTTGTTCATAAATAAAAGTAAAATAACTTCAAGTAGCAGTGTGTTACAACTCTATTCCTAGTTTTTGCATAGTTCTAGAGTGAGAAGGACTCTCCTTCACGCTCCTATCATGCCTTCCCCCTCCGGGACTCCGTCCTGGATCCGCCGGGCTAATAAGCTGAGTGCCGAGGAATACCGTGAACTGCTCAAGGCAGTATTCCCAACATTACTATTTGAAAGAGATACTCTTTTTCGAGATCAATTCTCTTCTGAGATGTTTCCCAGTTGTCACTATTTAGGGTTTTGGAGAAAATATGAAAAAAAGATGAAAGGGTTGCAAAGAATTATCAAAGTGGTAAGAAATGTTTCGGTCCATTAAGTCGTATACATTTCTTACCGTTACCGCAGTTGGAACTCGTCAGTGCGACGTCTGTGGTAACAATATAATTTAGTGAGGTGTAAGAATTAAATAGATGAAAGAGATGGAAATCGGAAGAAATGGAAAGATAGAAGAATTGGAAGACCTTAAAGAGATAGAAATGATAGGAATAGAAAAGATATGATGTTATCAAGTAGTAAAATAAGACATGAAACCTACGTTACTCAAACCACGCAGACGGGGCAGGGATTATACTAATAATCCCAGGCCCTCCATTTTCTGTCAGTGCATGCAGCTTTAGGACAAAACATGGAGAGAAACTGATAAAATGTTCATATTTTTCAAATTCCACTGAAGATCCAAATTCTTTTTTCCTGTCTCTCCCTTCAAATCTTTCCCCCGTCCAAACCTCCTCCATACAAAATACAGGCAAAAGCAGATCCAGGACGGACTCCTACGGAGGCGGGAGTGAGGGGGGACAACGGATCATAAGGAAGGGAAGTGGGGCTCCTGGGCGGGGACGACGACGGAGGGAAGAGAGCCTCCACCCATCCTGGAACTATGCAAAAACTAGGAATAGAGCTGTAACACTGCTACTTCGAGTTGCTTTAGTTTCATTTATGAAGAGACCCGGGCTTT